AGTCGCTTCAGTCTCGCATCGCCACTGTTGGACCGACCTCTCACTGCACTGTTTGGTTCGGTCCAATTTCTGCAGATAGCCAGTAAACATAAGTTAATATCCATCAAAGCAGCGCAGCGCGTTGAATTAATGGAACCAAAAGTTGCTTCAAATATTTTTACAGCATGTTTACTTAGCTGCTGCAGCTGGAAGTGGTCCAGTGACTTTTTTCCTTAAAAGTCACCGAACCAGTTTGTGTGTAAACACACATTATAAACGACTCTGAGAGCTTATCGGTCTTAATACTGAACTCAGTGTCCTCAGACACGGTGCGAGCCGCTTATGACGCGGAGGTGGGAAGAATTTCATTCGGTAACGTTACAGTAGTGGGGAGAAAAAAAATGCTAACCTAATTTGGAGCCTTATATAGTGCAAAAGTATTTATGCTCCATGAGCCTTAACCGTTACAAACAGAAACATCGTTTTGTTAGAATAGTCTCACCTTCCTAAAATAATGGGCTAAGTTTTTTTTTTTTTTTTTAATATTTGATTTCTTTTGTGCCTGAAACATCTTTTGGAAAGAAAGATGTAGCTTTTATTTATTTATTTTATTTTTTTTGGCCAAAATTACTTTTGTATCATTTCTTCAAATGTGTTTAGGTTGAGTTTGTAGAATCATTGAGTCATTTTCTCCAGAGTGGTATCGATTGGGTATAGCATCGCTAATGTGCTTGATGGTGATCTACAGATTGACTTTAATTCTCAGAATTTGCTTTTGATCGGGAGTAGAGATTCTTTGCCACTCTCTCAGCTACTGGACACGTTCTTTCTCCTCTCACCAGTGAATCATTTGTCAGACCACTTTAACGGCATCCGTGGAATTAATGATGTCCGAAATTTAAAAACAAAAGCCGTCTTTCAACTTGTTATTCCTTTGGAAGATGAATGTTATATGGGAATGTAAACTTAATTAAAGGTTTCAGCTGAGTTTGTTCCTGAGAAAATGCTACTTTATATCGCGTTCAAGGACGCCGAGTTTTGAGAGAGCGCAGTAAATCTGTTATTTAGCCGAATCCCCGCGTTCCCAGATGGAATGCTGCCGCCACTTGCTCTGACTATGGGTTTCTGCTGGTTGACGAGGTCATAATGACGTAATGCTGGCCAGATTTCATCACCCAAATGTGTTCTCCCAGTTAACTGGTTTGACTTCAGGGAAGCGAATTGTTCTTGGGCTTCGCACCGAGAGAGACTCAGGGAGGAATTTGCTCTCTCTCAGTTCGTTCACTGTTGTGAATTACTGGTAAGGTTGTTTCATTTCTGTATCCAACTTCTAAGTTGATACATCTTCATCTCGGTAGCTACTCTTTTCTGGAGCAGTTTGTCGAAGTCCTGGGCGGAGAACAGAGGCGTCTTGTCTCGTAGGTCAGAAAATAAAGTTGAAATCCTGCAGTTCTTGATTTTGAAGCAACCCAGCTGTGAGAAAAAAAATTAAAACCACTGACGCTGAGTATATAAAGTATATAAATACTCACTCAGGGAAGCTTGATACAAACGCACACCACACTTTTCAGATTTGAATGTGTAAACAAATGCAAAAAGACTTCCTCATTCGCATCATGCACCACTTTAGTGTTGGTCTTTCGGAAATAATCAGGATGACACTTGTGGCTGTAATGAGACGAAATGAGGTGTTTTTCTAAGGTGCTATATTTTTAAAGAAAACAGTTGCGAAAACAATAGAAATTAGGAGGGGGGGGGAACAAACATTTTAACAACATCTGGACATCAAATAAATCGGTAAGGTCTAAGAGTTTTAGTAGCTGCGTTGTCACGCGCCTGATCCCAGAGCAGCGTCCTGTTGTCCAACCTGACAGCATGCGGCTGCATTAGCACGGAGGCTTGAGTAACCAACCTGCCCATCTGTGAGGAAACCATTACTGCTGAACGACGCTTTTAGAGGCTTTAAGACGTCTCACTCCCCCGTTTAGACGAAGCCGCTTGCAGATAAGTGTCTCACAGGAACGTCACCAAACCATTTTCTCTACAAATCTCCCAAAACGTTTACTATGAAAAACAAAACAAAGCAAAACAAAAAAAGGTGTCAGTGGGGGTGGGGGGATAAGCTGCAGACGAGCAGACCTGACACCCATTGAGCAACCGATATGCTGTTACAATATTACATGTGGAAATGTTTGGTTACTGTTGTACTTTGCGTAACAGCTGAAATGATTATAAAACCACAGCTTACAGTTTTTAGCACGCGGTTGAGCGATGCATTAGAATTTGATTCCTCGCCACGTCACAGTGGCTCCCTGGTGATTATTTGGACAATGTGTTGTTCATCAAGACCACACATTAATGTTTTGAATGCATGTAGGGTTTTTTTTTTTTTTTTTTGTGGTCATCAGAAGCTGTTTAGCTCGAGCGGACGGTTTGCTCTGCGATCGATATGGATGTGGTCCCAGGAATCCACTGTAAATTACAAAGGTCAGCATTATAGCGTAAAATCAGTCCCGGCTGCAGTCTTCATCTACAGCTCTTCCCACTTGTGCTTATGTGTTACTGAGTTCTTCCCACCCCTCCTCCCCCCCAAAGAGTTAGGTGAACAAAAGCTCATTTTTCAGTGTTTCATTCAGAAGAATTAGAGAACCATGTCAGAGAAAAGAGATGAAAGGCGGCATGGGAGGAGACGCTGGCGAGAATCCCAACTTTCTGAGAGTCAAAATTCGACACTCATGTTCACAAAGCGCATGCACTGGCTTTCCCTGGCTCTCGCGTTCCTGTCATGTAATAAAAAAATGTGTTCGGGAGCGTCGAGTGTAGCTACTGCACGGATAAATAACTCGTCACAGAGGCATGCTTCAAGACAACAGCCACCCACCACAACGAGGTCCACGCTGCCCCCAGGATCTCTCAACGCGGTGGCAAACACATACACACGCATTCACTGAGGCAAGTCAATGCAGTTTTGCAGCCTACAGCCAGGAAATCAAAAGCAGTTTGTAGTCATGGGCTTGTTTTCTTTTTCTTGTTTTTCTCAAGAGGAGAGTTTGTTGGCTTCCTGTGCTCACAAGACTGTACAACAGCCACGGGGCTCTTGGCTACAGCTTCACACCCCTGTCTGCATCAATAGTTCTGTGCCATTGTGATGGTCACAAAGGCCGTCTAAGTATACGCCAAGAGGAAAAAGGTGCCACTCTTTATTCCTCCCTCATCCCCTCACTTCCTCTTGGCTGACTTGAAAGAGAAAGTCAAGCGGCGGCGGTGCTGAGGTAGAGTGGGAGGAAGAACACAGAGGTGGACCAAGCGCCACGAATTTGTCCTTGCAACCTTCAGGGATGTGTTTGCATTCATTGCAACTCGTTTTGAGCCGTTATGTAAAGCTAAAAGTTACCATTTTGATCTTGTTGCTGTGGATAACATGTCTTAAGATGCACTAGGGAGATTTGCCCCTTCAATTTTTCATTAACATACAATGCCACTTTTTCTCTGTCTACTTCCATTTTATAACTATCATGCCATTTAAATCTTATGTTCTTAAAGCATTGTATTAGGTTTTAGAAATCTCTGTTTTAAGACAGCTTTTTATTATTATTTTAATCCCTGTTTGGACATGTCACTCTTATGAAACTTGACAGATTAGGATTCCTGATCAGAGCAGAACAACTCCAAGCATCTTCCTACTTGTAGAAATTATTTGCTCCTTAATAGACTGAGGCCTGCAGAAAAATCTAGGCCTGCGGTATCATTGCATAACAAGTACAACCTTAGCACAAATGCTAACGTTAACCAAGCACGAGCATGCTAACAGGTTTGGTAAAACAGAAACAGAACAAAACTTCTAAATTATTCAAAAAGGCAACTAAAAAGAAAAAAAACCATACACTGCTGTATATTCTGCTGAAGGATACTGGTGGGCATTTCATGTTTAAGTTCCAAAACTGGACTGGCATTTGCCTGAAAACAAAACTCTCAAGATGGTAGAGTTTCACATCGATCACAACTCCAGTGTGACTGTTTGAATTTTCAACGCTTTCTTTTTTATCTCACTATTTTTTATGACCATGCTACTACACAGGGTAAGTTTATGAACATGTTAAGTGTCTAAAAACAAAATACAAAAAAATGTATTGTGACTAGCTAGTATTGCTTGGTGTTGTTAGCTTGTTGCCAAGCAAAGAAAATCCTGCACAGCTTTCTTGACATGGCTAAATCATGCTAAATCAAAGCCATATTCTAACTAAAGAGATAAAGTAGATATTTGGTTTTCTTTTTTCAGTGTTATTTTCTTTACTTTATAAAAGAAAATTATTGGAAAATACCCCACTGTAATGAAATTATCAAGGTCAAAGTGCTTGAACAACTCATCTTTTTGACTGTTATTAAGCTTCCTGTTTACTTTGCAAATACTGGCATTAGGCTAGTTACTGGTATCAAGGTGATTTAAAGTTTTAGAAGATAATTATCTCTAAACACATAATTTCCAATCACAGCTTTCCTATACTAAAAGTAAAGGGAACTCTGACTGTCTGGACATATTTCTCGAGGAAATTAAATGAGCACCACCATTTTTTTTTTTTTTACCTTATTATGGTAACGTTGTTTTAAACCTACAGCTGACAAGCTTTGAACAGCTCATTGAGCCCACTTTTTGTTCAAGCGGAGCAAATAGTCTGACTAATTAAACAACAAATAATAGCTTATTATACTGATTTTATCCTTACACAAGACTAATATAGAAAAAAGGTAGAATGAGCTGACAAAAACACACACACTTTTGTAGTTAGCCTAAATAAAAATAACTGCAATTTGTATCATTTTCACTGCTATGATTAATCATAAACTATTAGACCATGCCCATTCCTTTTTCTTTTTTTTTTTTGTTTACAAAAATGTGCAAATACAATGTGGTATTGTTCTCATAGTTTCTATATTGTTAGGATCCATACGGGTCCATGTCGAGCTAGTAGCTCATAAAACAATACCAGAGAAAAAGACTGACAAAGATGCATGTGGCCAAGAAATGTCTAGCACAGCAGATTTACTTCCTTTTTTTTGATACTTAAAACAGGCCATGACACAGAAATTAGTAGGCTTCGAACATCAAACATCTACACAGAACACGGAGAGAGAGTTTTCACAATCATTTCTCAAGAAGGCTTACAACCAATATGAAACAAATACAAAAAAAAAAAAACCTAAAAGACTGTCTGCCAAACACGGACACAGTGCACAATTCACTTTTGAGGTATCTCATACAAATAGATCTTCAACGTGTTGATGGAGCTGTAAAGCGAGCGAAGAATTGTGACTAAGATTTTCTATGTTGCAATGAATGCAAGGGTAGTTAGAACATGCTGAGGTGAGTCACTCGTTCACGCTTTCACCCTGCTGGACTGCTTTCAGCCTGGACTTATGCATTAGAAAAGCTCCAAGTTAGTAAAAAAAAATACACATGATGAAGTAAACTAATCTTAATAGTCACAACATCCTGTACAGTACACCTAGAAGAAGAAGAAAAAAAAACAACTGTAGCATCAGATGCACAAAAATACTGCAAATATTACCCTTGTTTTCTGTGACAGAGGTTAGAAGGGAAAAAGAGCCTTTGTAGACTTTGACCTCAGAGAAAACCACACACTGACCTCCAACAGTGATACATACTGGGTGACAAAAAAAAAGAAAAAAAAGCAAACTCCCCCTGAAGATTAACAGGTAAAGAGCAGATAGTCTCAGCTCATAGTGCATTACAATGTCTGCTGTGCACATCTGTTCAGCAACCACAGGCTCAGTGCATTCACGTTCTCGTCTAAAAGCCATTCACCGCCTGCGACTCCTCAGGCGCAATCTCTCACCTTGCTAAATGGGTATTGATTAAACATCAGCAAGTGGCTTGAGAAAATACAATTCACGTTAAGCCGTACATAGCCGAAGATATTGATGGACAACGGATTATTGCCTGTCCGACAATCTGTTTCCCCTCAGCCAGGCTCTTCACGGGGCTCATTTAGTCAGAAGTGTAAGTAACACAAGCTGCATGATGGAAAACGAAGTAATGGCTCTAGTATTTTGAGAACGACACAATACATGGCAGTACAGTACGATAGCTTATCAATGTTGACAAGCGACTGTCAGCAAAGCGTGTGGAGTAGTTAGCCATCATCTGATACATTTTTACATAGTCTTTAGTCCACAGTGCATTTCTTTACTCCTAGTCCATCTGTTTCCCGAACTAAAAGGACACCTTGGTTAGTTCCTGCGGTTTCCGTTCTCCACGTACTCGGCCAGACTATTGAGAGCTGTCTCATCGCTCTTGGACTGAAGGACAGTGTCCCCCTTCCTAGAGGTTTTCTTGGTGGCCCGTGACAGCTTCCTCCTGAACGTATCCCCGGCCAGGAAGTAAAGGATGGGATCCACGCAGCTGTTGAGGCTGGCGAGGCCCCGCGTCACCTGGTACGTGGCGTAGACGCGGTTGTTGAACTCGCACATGTCGGGGCTCTGGAAGTACAGCCTCGCCCGCATGTTCAGGTTTTTCATGACGTGGAACGGCAGGTAGGAGACGGCGAAGACCGCAAGCACGATGATGACCAGGTGGATGGATTTCTGCCTGAGCGGCGCGTTGTTCATGTCGTTGTAGATCAACGCCTTGACGATCATGCCGTAACAGCAAAATATGATGATGAACGGGACGCAGAACCCGAACACAGTCAAAGTCATGCTGTAAATGAAATAACCCGGCAGCTCGTCCTCAGTGGTCGTGTCGTAGCAAGTGGTCAGGTTACGCTTCGGACCTGTCCTGGAATAATAAAGAATCGGGGACATGCTTATGACGACTATCAACCACACCAGAGCGCTGGTGATGACAGCGTTCTTCTTCTTCAGTCTGCCCAGAGACTTGAGCGGGTGCACCACGCCAGTGTACCTGTGAACACTGATGCAGGTGAGAAACAGAATACTTCCGTAGAGGTTCACGTGGAATATAAAGCGCTGGAGGCGACACAAGACGTCCCCGAATATCCAGTTGGTTTTGTTGAAGTAGTAGAAGATGAGGAAAGGCAGAGAGAGGACGTAGCAGAAGTCAGCCAGGGCCAGGTTGAACATGTAGACGGAGATGCTGCTCCAGGGTCTCATGTGGCAGACGAACATCCAGATGGCCAGGCTGTTGCCTACCAGCCCAGTGAGGAAAACCATGATGTAAACAGTGGGCAGGTAGTAGAACTGGAAACCTGTCTTGGTGAGGCTGCATCCTCTTTGGATGGATTCATTCAGGAAGGAGGTCTGGTTCAACGCTGTGGTCATGGTTTCAGGGGCGGGAGCTTGTCCTATTAGACAGAAAAGAAGGGCGAAAAAATTTATGACCAATCTTATCTCTATTCAGTGTTTGGATTTAAAATGCTTAATTAACAACAAGGCGGCAAAAATCAAGAATTTAAACACACGTAGTGATGGACATTTCGGAGCACTTACCGTAGAGAGAGACTTATATTCCACATTCCTATACAGTGTCCTTCACAGTTGCAACAACAACAAAAAAGATTTCCGTCATATCGCGGACGGGGCGTCTCAGCTGACAAATCCCTTCATTCGGTCTCCTTACGACGCAGGAAATAGTTTAGAAAGTTACAAAAAAAAAAAAATCCTCTGGTTTTCTATAGGTGCGGGGAAAAACTAAATCTGCTGTCGGTTCCTCCATGCGTCGCGAAGCTTTCCCACACCAGTGGCGGTGGGACGCAACCGAGACAGCTGCAGGCTCTGGCATGAAGAGCAGGAATTGCAAACTGCCTCCGTAAAGGGAGAGTGAGAGAGAGAGAGAGAGACTGTTCGCGCCTCAGTCAGAAGAGGAAAAGAAAAGAGGGGAGGAGAGAGAGGAGGGAAGGTGAGCTGGCTCACAAATCCGCTCCGTCCCTCGCGTGGCTCGACTCCTTATCTACCTGCACGTCGCCTAAACCTTTACTGTCAAAAGACACGTGAGCAACTTTGAAGCAGCCAGGTTCAGATCGCGTTCTCGTTAATTATCGATTGGAGTCAGAGGCGGTGTTCGCATGAATGCCGCCAAGGGCGAGTCCCTCCTCCTTGCGCACAGAAAATAGTAAACATCTGCCTTTGAATAAAACATAAAATAAAATAGAATAAAGGTTTCAGTATTACTCAAACTGCATTGCTGTCTATGTTCAGTGTTGGTCAATTCGGCTCAAATCTGATCAAAGTATTAAATAATATTAAATTAGATTCATAGATTTTTGAAGTAGTGAAAACAAGCAAAAAATAATAATAATTGAATTGGTGGATATTTGAATTCTCTGATGTCTAATGGTGCATTCCACTTGTGGCTGGATTTAGGAAATTCCAACTTTCCAGTCGAAAAAAACTAACTTGAATGCCCTCTGAATCAGATGTCCCACTGGGAAACTGGGCACAACTCCCAGTTGGGACTTGCAAAGCAGACCTCTTGTTTCAATATGGCTGCTCATCACATCAGCAATAGTAAGATGTGGTAAATATAAGACACACATGAAAAAGTGTGTCTAATAATCAATCCTAACATGTAGTGCCTGCAACTCTAAACTGAACCAATTGAAAGTGGTGTTTATCTAAAAAAAAATGATGTTTGTAAGAGCCATTGCAAACAATGTTTATGGATATCGGCCATTTTGAAATTCGGACTTCTTAACTAGAACGCTGTTACCTCGGGTCGGAGGTCAAACCCAACTCTGAGTTCCCACTTCTCAGGTACCTGGAATGCAGTACACATATCCAGGTGCGTTGTGTGTGTGTGTTTTTTTTTCAGTGCACTAACTATACATTACTATCACTTTCTTTGTTCAGGCTTCATTTGCTCCCCTAAAAAAGTGGGGTTGACCATTCTTAGATAGCTTTACAAACAATGTTGTATTTTATCATATATTTTTTAAATTCTTTTTTTTATTTTAACAATGTCTATATACCACCCCATAATGGAAGGTGTCATGACCGGGGAGCAGTCTTGTCGATATCAAATATTATTACTGGACAGGTGACTTTTAAAATCCGTATTTTTGCCACTTATCGTCAGACTGTCATTCCAATGGGGAATAATGTGGTATCATTGGAAAGCAATCAAGTATCCTTTGAACTCCTGTGTGTCCCCTATCAAGATAGCCATTTAATCTCTCTGCAGAAGCTAAAACACAGAGCTCGGACTATGTGTTATGCAGCCAAGGACAAAGCGACCCTGGCACAAGCCGTCCACAGGCGGAGGGTGATGGAGAATAGTGAAGGGATCCGGACATGCTGCTACGGCCAAGAGTCTTAAAATAGTGTTCGGCAGAGTGAGCCAAGAGTGTTGCAATACTCTAATGGACGCCGGGCAGCCAGAGCATTACGATTGACCCGGGGTCCCTTTAATGGTCCACCAACAGCAGCCTAAACATCCACTGGCTTTCTGTGAACGATTACAAAAGCTAACACTTTTATCCAACTAAGAAATGTTAGTGAGTAAATATTAATGACCCAGCTGTCCACACACACGTAAATATATCAAAACATGCTAAAGTCATAAACTTTCTACACTGATTTAATCTTTAAATGACTGTGTTAGTGTACACAAGCACCTTCTGTACAAACACGTTTGATTGTAGGCGCAAGTATTTTGGAGAATGTCGTTATGAGCCTTGGACAGCCAATTGATTAAGATTTACACAATCGACACGAGCTTGTGGATGCAAAATAGCTCAAGCTCAGTAAATTTATCTGTGACCATTAAACTTTATAAATTTATAAAATTTATAGATCGACATGTTTTGAAATATTTTAAGGAGGTCACTGGAAAAGAAATAATCACCAGATCCTCGGTTACTTTTTCCAACGATTTAAGCAACATTACGGCCCGTGGCTTCGAACACAACAAAAACCATTTTATAATGGCCAAATCGTAGGATTACTCATACAGTGCTTTCACTTCCTGCCCCAGGATATCTTTGTTTGTACCTGTGTCTCTAAGGCACTCCTCCCTGCAGGCCCAGGCTGCTCTTACTGTTGGGATAACTGGCCGACAGACCGGTGGAGTGCCAGTAGATGCACAGTGGATCCACACACATTACTCCGCCGGCGCACAAACAAGAGACCCTGTTTTGACACGTAACTAGCACGCATCCTTCTCGGCCTTTTGGATGTCTAAAGCAAATCTAGATTCCACTTCATAGGGTTCAGAAGGAGCTACACTTCTAAGTCTATTTGGTAGCAATTACAGATGAGACGTTGGACATCTACAATTTTTGAAGATGAGATCAAATTTTAGCGACTTCTTACCACGATGCACGAATGACGAAACAGACCCTTGAATAACAGTGGATTCTCGAAGGCGGCTTATAACTTTAATCTCCTCTTCCGTCTGAAAATCACTGGAATGAATCACCAGGTTGTTGAAAACTTTACACAAACAGGTTGTTGGCATCCAATAACTTAAAAGATTTTAAAGGTAAATCCCTGTGCCTGATTCATAGATGATGTATGAATTAAAATGATCCTTCCTTGATTTTTTTTTTTGAAAGTTTCTAAAGGACTGGGTCATTTGAATAAATCATTAATATGAAGCAAAGTAAACAATAACAGCTCAAGCTTGGAGCTTTGTGGGACTCCTGAAGTACATCTAAGGTCAAATATATATATATATATATATATATATATATATATATATATATATATATATATATATATATATATATATATATATATATATAAAAAAAAAATTTTTACTTAAAAAGAAAAAATATATATATAT